CCCCAAAACCCCAAAACCCCAAAACCCCAAAACCCCAAAACCCCTCGGTCACGAGTTTAGTAGAAATAACAATATTAGCATAATGAAAGCGTTGGTTGACCTTAAACATTCTGCATCACTTTTTTGAATTCCTCATAATCTACCTTACCATCTCCATTAGAGTCAGCTTCTTGTATAATCTCTTTGAAAGCTATATTTAAGATTTAGAGTCTGTAAAGCAGATGTAAACCCAAAAAAGACAGTTAGCAGGGAAAGATGAATACTAAAATTACCTTCGCCATCAGTTCAATCAAAGGCAGCTCTCATCTCTTCTTCATCAATCTGGCCATCTCCATCCTTATCAAAGACCTTGAAGGCATCTTTCATTTTCATTTGCTCATTGACTACTTTATCTTGATCAAGTGTGGCAGCAATGAACTCAGTGTAGTTAATAGCGCCATTATTGTCGATATCAACGCCTTTTAGTATTTCGGCAATTTCATCGATATTTTCAACTTCCTTCATACCTTCCTTGAGTTCCTTCAGAGTGATGTAACCATCCCGGTTTTTGTCAAGTTTCAAGAAGATTTGCATTTCCTCGCTAATGTCATCATCAGTAGTCCTACTTGCTAAGTAAGTCAAAGCAGCCTTATTTTAATTTCTTGGATTTCTGGAAACTCTTTAGACGATGAAGATGCTTATTTGGTACATCAATGTTCTTGTCACGGTTTTTCACCCATGGGTGGTGGAGAGCCTCTTTAGGAGTCAGCCTCTCTTGTTCTGGCTTAAGGAGGTTATTGATGAGATCCTTTGCTTCATCAGAAACTTCATCCCAAACTTCATCGTCAAAGTCATACTCGCCTGCAATCACAGCCTCTAAGATTTCTTGGTCGTTCTCTCCATAAAATGGAGGGTATCCGCATAGCATAATATAGAGCATAACACCGGCCGACCACATATCGCAGGATTCTGTGTAATCATGGGAGATTACCTCTGGAGCCATGAAGAAGGCAGTCCCTGCTCTGGTCTTCATCCTGACCACGCTACTCTTCTCAGTATTTTTATCAACCTTGAAATATGACATTGAGAGACCGAAATCAATCAGCTTAAGCATAGAGTCTTTATCCTTTGACTTAAACATAAAATTCTCAGGCTTAAGGTCCCTATGAGATATCCTGTTCTTATTTCAATACAGAATCGATTGAAGAATCTGCAGGAATAGCTCAGCTGCTTGCTTCTCACTAAGGTAGCCATTTTCAACTATCCGATCGAACAGCTCTCCACCCTCACACATCTCCTGAACGAGGTAGACGTTTTCAGTGTCTTCATAAATCTCGAATAACTTAATAATATTGGGATGATCAAGTGTCTTCAAAGCATGAACTTCGTTTAAAAACCTCTCTATTTTCTTGATTTTCTTCCTAGAAATTTGTTTGACAGCACGGATATCCCCTGTGTCAGTATGAATTCCCTTATAGACAACACCATAGGTTCCCTTGCCAAGCTCCCCGTCCAATTTATAGTCTTCATATAAAGAATTTTTCTTTGTAAATACAAAATTTTCTTTCTTAATCACAAATTGTGTGATCAATTTCTTAATATCAAATTTACTCTTGAGCTCTTCAAAGGATTCTGTAGGCCCAGTCTCAACAGCTTCAGCATTATCTACATCGACGAAATCATCGACTTTAATACTTTCCTTTTGCTGATATCCACTCATAATAAAATAGTTGTCAATTTTTATAAAGTTAATAGGGGTTTTGGGGTTTTGGGGTTTTGGGGTTTTGGGGTTTTGGGG